CATTTTATTAATTATTCATTTACTTGATTATTATTATTATTTTTTTTTATGTCAATGCCTACATCGTTTCATTGTGGATTTGATAAATAAACAACTGTAGCACTTGATTTGAATTGATTTTTATTTCGTTTTATGCACACAGCCTGGTTATTGCTAATATTTTTCTTTTTTTTATAATTATTATTTGAATTGTAAGAACCTGAAGCCAGATACCATCCTGGAGAGTCCGACTCATCTGTTCAGAGTCGGTGGCGCCCAAAACTAAAACCCACCCCTACTCTCCGAATTATTTAGTTCTGAGCTAGGGCATAATTTGCACGCAATTCGACCTTCAGTCTTACAATCTCAAGTTCTTCATTCATTTTTTTTTAATTATTTTTTTTTTATTTTCATTATTTTTATTTATTTTTTTTTTATTTTTTTTTATTTTCGACTTTACTTTTTTTTTTTTTTAATTTAATTCTTTTTTTCTAAATTTTTTTTTTATAAACTTTTCTTAATCAGCGAAAAAGCGTGGCAATTGCAACAAACATGAATTTTGTGATTCCATAAAAAATTAAAAATCTGAGTTAATTTTACAAATATGCTTGAATTTGAACAAAGTTATGTAAAATTGATTTGATTTTAATTAATTTTTGAAAGTATTAAGGGCGGAAATAAAAAATAAAAAAATATGTACAAATTATAGATTTTTTTCGAAAGAAAATAAAAAAAATCTTAGGAGACTATGTTTTGGTATTTAGGCATAACTTTTAATTCCAAACAACTTTTCTCTATAACATTTTGCTGAATTTTCTAAAATAAGGGTACTTCACGGTACTAGCGTTGATATTGTTTGAGCTACCCTGTATGCTGTTTGACTTGCAACCATTCTAAGTGCACCTAATATGATTATCAGACATGCACCAACTTTTGGCGTTGTTTGTATTTTGATTGTGCTATTACTAAAAAAAATCCCATATGTTGCACACTTAAAAAATCACACTGTATAGTAACCCCAAGAAATACTTTTGTATTTTTCAATTCCAGGTTTTTAGAATTTTCTAATGTCCTCTTCGCGCTTTGAATTTAAATGTCTTTTTAAGAAGGAAAATGTGTAAAAACATTAAATTTTTTTCTACCCCACACCGATTCTATTCTACCTCCCTATCTTGGCGTAATCTGCCCCAATAAAAAAAGAGCTTGTAGCAACACTGGGTATGAAAAAGAATTCTATGGAGTCTTTAGCAAGTTGCTCCGCATCATAGTGCTTCAGGAATGGTTTTAATTCTCTTGCGGCACCCACACACGTTGAAGCATTATCAGAGTAAATTCGAACACATTTACCTCTGCGTGATACAAATCTACGAAGTGCAGCAATAAAGCATTCGGAGGTCAAATCGCTAACAACCTCGATATGGATTGCCTTAGTGGCAAAACAAATAAATAAGGCTATATAGGCTTTTGTCATCTTTCAAAAGAAATGGACCAGCGTAGTCTATCCCGGAGACTAGAAAGGGTCGAGAAGGTGTAATACGAGAATCAGGCAAGTCGCCCATAAGGTGGTTTTGTTTTGGAGGCGAAAATTTGAAGCACACCATCATACACTCGTGAACAATTTTGCGAACAAGATTACGTCCGTCAAGAGGCCAGAACCTTTCACGCAATGAAGCGAGTAACAGTTGTGGACCAGCGTGTAGTTGAATCAAATGCTCATGTTCAGCGACGAGATACGTAAAATGATGTTTTGCAGGCAAAATTGCAGGATGTTTTTTAACGCATTTAAACTGAGAATGTTCAATACGACCACCAACACGAATTATAGATTTTTTGTCAATGAATGGGTCCAAACTAAGTAGCTTACTTTTTGTAAAAATCATTTTGGAGTTTAACAAATTAGAATAATCCTCTACGAATGATGTAGATTGAACTACCCTAACAATGTGATCGATAGCACATCTTAGTTCCGTACAAGTGAGATACCTGAAGATTCTTTGCGATTTTGGAGTTATAGCATTATTTTTGAAGCGAATGATAAGTGCAAATACACGTTGGAGTTTTGATAGAGACGAGAATTTGTTTAAAGTGTTGATGATGATGATGCGTAACAGGAAGAGCGATCGAAATTTTACCTTTTAATTCGGGTATTTCCTTCGGAATGTCAATATCTTGAGGTAAGGGCCAATTTTGTTCTGTTTCACCAAGCCAATTGGGACTACGAAACCAAACTTTAGATTCCAACAATTTTGATGGTAAAAATCCTCTGGAGAGTATGTCCGCAGGGTAGTAGTGTGTTTGAGAGGAGCTACTCGTGTTTTAGCACACAGAAGATGAGAGTGGATGTTTCCAAAATTGTCAATCGTGCGAATGTAACTACAAGCGCCGTAGCTAGAAACCGATACATCCGAGAAACCGTGTAGCTGAATCGAGATGAATAGAAAATATTTTGTTTGTAGGTAGTCCAAAGTGTATGCAGATCCATAGGTATACTTTCGTCACACGAGATTTTCAGAGACCAAAGCTTCTGTAATATAATCTTTGCAGTTACAGTTACTGGCGAGAGCAGACCTAACAGATCGAAAACCTGAGCGATACAAGAAATAATTTGACGTCTAGTAACCTTATTTGTAGTAGTGTCAAGAGCAATGTTGTATCTTAGAGAGTCAGACGATGAGTCCCAAAGTAGGCCAAGGGTTTTACTAGCTGCTTACTCATCAAAGGTAAGAGGTTTGTTAGTGTCAGAGAGTTCTGGGACATTAGATATCCACTTTCGGAGTATAAAGCCATATGATTTCAAGGCCTCAAAAAGTTTCTCTTTCACGTGTCGTACATGCTCTACGGATTCTCCACCGGATAACAAATCATCCACATAGAAGTCATACAAAATAATATTGCTTATGTTGGGGAACGTGTCTTTGTGAATATGTCCGACTTCCTGAAGACATCTAGTAGATAAGTAAGCTACGGAAGCGGTACCATAGGTTAAGGTATTTAATTCAAAAGTTGAAATCGGATCGTCTGGGGAAAACCGATAAAGAATTTTCTGTAAAAACCTCTGATCTGGGTGGACCAAGATCATACGATAACATTTTTCAATATCCCCACTTAAAACTACGGAATGTTTAAGAAAACGAAGTATAATCGAGAGCAAGTCATCTTGCACGGTAGGACCGACACATAAAATATCATTAAGCGAAAGACCAGATGTGGACTTGGCCGAACCATCGAAAACAACTCTAAGGCGAGTGGTGCTACTAGTTTCTTTGATCACACAGTGGTGAGAAAAAACCCAGAGTTATTATCATCTTGGTTTTTTGCGAGAGACATATGATTGAGATCGATATATTCTTTCATAAAATCATCATATTGTAATTTGAGGTTAGGGTTTGCCAAAAGTTTTCTTTCAAGAGCATAAAAACGTCTAAGTGCAGCAGCCTTTGAATCACCAAGTTGCAAGGGGTCAAGTTTGAGAGGAAGTTTGACAGTGAATCTACCGTCCGAAACACTTGTATTATCGAATGTAATACCACAAGAGGTTTCAAAATTACCGGATAATACTAATACGCGTTACCCAGCAACACCACGACTCCGAAGGAGGAGTGGTGTTGCTGGTAACGCGTTGAGTGTCAGGTAAAAGTCTTAGGTAATCCTGAAACATCGAGTGGTATTCAAAAGGTTATACAATGAACTAAACTATAATACTTTGAAATTAAAAAAAAAAATCTATAATAGAATTTGCCATAAATGCCACCAAGCGCGATAATCCCAAAAGGCTTATCAGTTATTAAGCCTCTCGTTTCATATGGGAATAATGTACAGTGAGTTGTATAATCAACGAAATGTTTTTCACAATAAGATTCCTCATGCGACAAAAATTTCTTTTTTGGGCAATCTTCAAGAATCCAGAATTTCTCAAGTTGTTTCTCTAGAGAATTATTGATCGACAAGTTGCAAACCAATGAATTGTTATGTCCATTGAATCGTAATTGCATAGGACCAGAAATAAGCCAGCCAAGCTTAGATTTTTGTAAAATCGGGCAATTTTTATTTAATTTAATTTGACCAACAACGAGCAAATCAAGGTATAATTCAGCGCCTATGAGTAGGTCGATTGAAGAACTAAGGTTGAAAGTTGGGTCAGCGAGAAAAATGTTATGAGGTATCGATATGAGTGTTTTGTCGAAAGTAAGTGCATGTATATTATTCGTTATGGCAGGCAAAACAAGGCAAGAGATTGTAGCATGATAACTAGTAGTTCTGCACTGAATTTTAACGAAAGTGCGGGATTTTATGATAGAATTCGACTGATTAATACCAAATACAGAATATTCAATTTTCGATGTTTGCAGATTCAAAATTCGACACAACCTTTCCGAAATAAAATGACTTTGAGACCCGCTGTCCAGCAGCGCTCTACAGCTGTGTGGTTTACCATTTTTATCAAAAACATTTATAAGTGCAGTCGAGAGTAGAATGTGAGTGTTATCCGAATTGATATGTGACGATAATACTATAGGAGATTGAGTAACGAGAGCATTTTGACTGAGATCAATTTGACTGCTGGAAGGCGTATTCGAGGCATTTTCCTCAACAATAATAGGCTGCGCTTGAGAACGCGAGCGAGAGTTATTTTCAAAGTGGAGAAGTGTGTGGTGACCTTTACCACACTGCAAGCAGAAGATCGACAATCCTTCGTGGAGTGACCTTGACGGCTATTCTTGACGTCGTGAGAAGTGAACTCTGTGCATGTGAAGTGACTAGTTCACTTCCCATTTGATTTCTCTCATAGCACAATGTGAGTATTCTCGAAATACAGGGAACGAGTTCCCGGCGATTACCTTTGTGCGCCGTTGCCAAGCATAAAAAAACGAATTTTGGCCAATCAAAATAAAGCGACAAATTTTATAACCTAAAAAAAATCTAATTGTCAAAAAACCGGTTTATGTCAATGAAGTTCATGTGGATTGTGGAAAAATTATTTATTTTTCAGTTCGAAAATAATTTGAAAGTCTCTTCTTAAAATGGCAGAAAAAGCAGCGCCTTCACGGGCAAAGCAAGTAAGTGATTGTCAAAAAGAATGTTTGATCTAGTTTGTAAAGAACCACCCCGAGTTACAAAGTGGGAAATTTACACCCGGCTTTACTAAAAAGAAAGCACAGCAATTATGGGAAGAAGCAGCCAAGGATCTGAATTGTATGCCAAAAGGGGCTTATGGAAATTGGAAGCAATGGCGCAAAGTAAGTGTACAAAAATTGTAACTTTAAAACTTTCACCTCCAAAAATTAAAGAAACAAAGCTAGTCATCCTTTTGAATCGGTTTCTAAAGCGGATCCGTTTCGCTAATTAGGAAGTCTAACAATGCGTAGCTTAGCTGGTTTTATAAAAGCGATTGTTGCTTCGTTGCTTCGTACACAGGAATCGTGGACCCATTTTATTATAAAACTAAAATTTTAATCGACTCTAAATGAGTTTTTTAATTCTTGTTTGTTGCAGAGTTGGCAAGATCTGAAGAAAAATGTAAAAGCAAAGAATTCTAGGATGAATCAGTACACTCAGGGAACGGGGGGCGGTCCACTGACGGATGAGGAGTTTAATCACACTGAAATGGAAATACTGGGTATGTTGGTGCCGACGATCTTGAGTGGTATACACGACCTTGAATCGGATGCTACGTTCGAGGAAGGTGAGATTGAAGAGATCCTTATAAAATTGCAACTTGATAAAACCGTGGCAGTGGAGGAAGACAATGAAGATGACACCGTGGTCGTTGGAAAAAGCAAAAACAAAGCTGTGGAGCCAACGGCTGAGCAAATTAGGTATTCGGAGAGGGAAAATAAGAATGTGCCTTCGCCCAAAGCTGATAATCCACGATTGGGTCCTAAACCCCCGACAAAAAACATCAGCCAGACTACAAAGTTCTTTGACTATGAGCAAATAACTTCTGTCAACCGTAAAGAACTTCTGTCAATCTATGCGACAGAAGCTTATCGAGCAAAGAAGCTGAAGCTGTTGGAAAAGCAGCTCGTTGTGCAGGAAGCCATTCGGGTTCACTTAAAAAAATTGAAGGACTACTTTCAACAAAATTCCTACTAGTTGTGCCAGGCCACTTGTCTTCGTTCTATTTCTTGTTTTGTAGCCAAAGAATATCATGTTACGGTTATGTTGAGGTGATTAAAGTATTTAAGAATAATGTTAGTTACGTTTATTTTTGTTCATAATATTCATAAATACGAATCTAATTTTTTATTTCAATTAAAGTGAGTTGCAATAATCTGCCGTTGTATTTGTCTGCCAGCGAGGATATCCCGATTTACTCGATTGCCGACATTATTTGGTTCTTCCAAGTTCTCCATATTGACGTTCATTCCATAGTCTAGATGTTCTAAATCGTATTCTGGTTCAGGCACATTGCGCTCTAGGCACATGTTGTGTAAAACAGTACATGCATTGATTATTTTGCATGCTTTGGCCGGTGTGTAATGCAGTACTCGATCTTTTAATAAACAACGAAACCGATTTTTAAAGACTCCGTTGCATCATTCGATCGTGCTTCTAACAGAGGTGAAGCGTTCATTAAATCTTTCTTCAGCCGGTGTTAAAGGAGCTCTCAGAGGCGTAAACAACCATGGTCTTAGGGGATAGCCAGAATCGCCCAATAAGTAAAAAATGACCCGTGACACTTCTGATTCGCGCCAAATGTACGCATCATGGCAACTACCGGGAAAGCGGGCACTGCTGGCGATGATTTTTAAATTTTCGTCACAAATAAGCTGTACGTTTATGGAATGGTAACGGTTGACGTAGATATGTTCAGGATGCAAAGGATCATTGCTCGGTGGTTTAACTATTGCAACATGTGTACCATCAACTATTCCAACCACGCCAGGAAATCCATATTTTTGGTAAAAACGTGCTCTCAATTGTTGTCACTCTTGGCGATTACGCGGAAAGTGCACCCAATGATTAAATACTTCCGGTTGTAGCAAAGCATTGCATACTTCATTTACGGCGCGACTAACCGTGGCTTGGCTAACGGCTACAAAGGTATTGGTTCCAGTGATTTCTTGATAGGACCCATGGCCAAAAAATCGTAATGCTATAAAAAGCTAGAAGGTGAACTATTTTGGTAAATTTGCAAAAATAAGTAGATACCCATTCGCCCATACCTTCCGTTCTACCGTTAATGCTGACATCCCAGATGGAACCGCCATGAATGGGGATATCTGTTGGATTATTTCATGTGCCAGATTTTTCGTTACCCGAAATATATGCAAATATGCAAATCGCCAATAATGATATGAGCCGCAATTATCTCGTTCAAATTCATGTTCTCAACAAAGCATAAAAACCAATGACATAACACACGTCACTTTTCACTATAAGTTATAGGTAAAATATGGATGAACTTCACTTCTCCTAACTGAGACCAGTGGAAGTAAGTTCTCTCACCGTTCGTAGTTTCGAGAATACCTATTTTTTACTTCCATGAGAACTTGTACAATTTTCTCATGAGAAACGAGCTCCCCGATTTCAAGAATAGCCGTCCTGGGCGTAGACAATTAACACACAGTTTCAAGCGTTTTATTTCATTTAAGCGATTACTAGGATTAGGTTTACCAAAATCAGGGCAAGAGTATATCAAATGATCTTGAGAACACAGTGAGCAACGACAAAGTGAATTCACAACTAGAGATTTTGTCGATTTTTGGGAAGTCTGAGACAAGTTGTGAGAGCGATGTTTTTCATTACCTAAGTCAAGTGACTCCAGCAATCGACATTTTTCTTTTGAGAACGAAGTAAATTCGTCATAAGAAGGTAACTTACCAGACCTACCTGTTCCATTCTTAGAATTTCCTTGTTCCCATTCTCGTCTGGTGATGTTGTCCAACTTCGACAAGTGAATCACGAGTGCATCCCAATGCTGTACTGGCAAATTCAAAACCTCCAAGGCTCTAATATGCTTCTGCATACCATCTAACAATTGCCTTAGACCTTGGTGTGACTCTATTTGTTTACTAAAAGTGGGGTGTTTTCATATCGTTCAAGCAATAAATTCCAAGCGAGAGTATTGCCAGGATTGAATGAAGCCCGCCACAGGCGGAAAACCACTCCAGCTGCCGCGCCCAAAAACGTTTATTTTGAGCCTTCAAAGAAAAAAAAATTCTGTACTACCGTTGATTGTACTACCGACATTTGTAACGGGCCAAAATTGCATAAACATTTCTTACCTACTTTCAATTTTATATTCAAGATTTCCTTAAGTTTTTCAACATTTTCTCTCAATTTCAATTGTCGTCAGATTTCCTAATTTTCCATAGTCAAATTCTATTTGCTGTGATAGTTTTTTTTCTCATTTAAATCCATATTTTAATTCAATTCTAAATCAAAACAAAGCAATGTTTTGATTACTATTTTAAATTCGATCATCTGTTTCATCCAAAAATAATTAATTCATCTGTCAAAAGTATGTCGTGTTCCGTAATCGTGATGTACCGTTTTCAGGTGGATGTACCGAGCTACTCCGTTCGTACTAACTGTTCCGGTTGTGGAGCGCTATCGATCTCGGCGCAAATTCGAGCGAACCCAGAGTCGCGCATTGTTTCGTTGATCTTTGAGAAACCTTGAACGCACCCATTGATTTCGCTTCTTTGACTTTTGATTGTCAAAAATTTCTGTCAACCAGCGGTGGATTAGTGATGTTTTCAGTATCGTCGATTCTTCCTTGAGCTCTCTAATTTTGAAAACGGAACATTTACTCTATTTTGTATTCTTCAAGTTTTGATTGTTTTATGGGATGATTATTTGTTGTTAATATCATAATTCATTAGCCGTTGTCGTTTTTCTCGGATTATGTTGTGGTGTGCAATTTTTGGTAAGTGAGAATTCTATCGATTAATTGTTGATGTTTGTCGTTATTCTGAATCATCTCTAAGTCCTTTAGGTGAGGTTAGCTTATTGATTGAATGTGCAGCACTTTCTCTTTCACGTTGACTGTTTTGGAAGAAACAAGTCCTCCAGAAGAATTAATTTTTTTTCTTCACCTTAAAAAGGGATTTTGGGCCTGATTTTCTTCTGAATTGAATTTATGGCACACTGAGTTATCTTGCGTTGTGTTTTACTTTCGTGAAGTGCCATAATTTTCGCCGATGTTATCGGATTTAAAAAAAAAACAGTCGTTGTGGTAAGTTGCTTGCACGTTTTTTTCCAATAGAAGTTTCTGACTTTTTCCATTCAATTATTAGTTGAAAGCTGCCCTAAGGAGTAGAGAATAATCTCACCTACTCCAGGATATTCAATCCAGACCTCAATCCAGATTCCCGGAGATTCTCGAGGCAGACAAACCCTAATTCCATCAGGTAAAAAAAAAAAACATAACCTTATAACAATTTTTGCAAACTCAAGACACATTTTTCTCAATTGCTATCAAAGCCTTATTATGATTTCATCTGATTTAATTAAGTAATACCTTAATGTTCAATTTTGCTATTAAAATAATTTTCAAGAGCTATAGTCTTTTATCAAGTAAATTTGCTATTGGAAACTAATCATTATAGTTTCATTTTTTCTTATTGATTCAATTTATTCATGAAGTGCTTCGCTATTGGTTCAATTACAAATACAGTGTGTATAACAATTTTTTCTCTTAGGGTTCTTTCACGAGGGTTTTTCTTTCACGAGGGTTTTTCTTTCACGAGGTTTTCTTAGGAGGTTGTACTTTACCATCAAGTATACCCTCACGGTTATAACAATAGACGTTCAATTGTAACCGAAATTGAACCAAAAGGCTAACAGACACCAGCCTAAGTAATCGGACGGTTACTCAAGTCATCGATCAAGTTAACCACAACCAGTAGCCAGGACTAATCTGGTGAATTGAATGAACCACCATCATCTGGAAAATTTTGGTATCGTACTAGTTTTAGTTATCCTGATTGTTATTGTTTATTTACATTCTGTCCCTATTTGTACACCCGGTGATCACCTCGGTATTTCAGGGAATAATTCATTGCTGGCCCCAGTGTGGTAAATGAATTATTAAAATAGGTAACTTAACTAGACGTAACCTGTTGAATTAATGTCAACTTATTGGTAGTTCTGGTTACGAAAGTGTAAGGTAACCGTTCCGAGAACTAATTCTACATTATTAGTTTTTTTTTCCCCTCTCTTATTCTCTTTATTTTTTTTTTTAATTTTCAAACCTTACTTTTCATATATATCTTTTTTTTTATTACTTAGTTATTGAGTTTCAATGACATTTTTGCATTTAAATTTAACTGATCTTGACATAGTATTGCATTTCTGTATTTGTTAATTAACGCTTCTTGACAAGGTCATTTTATTAATTGCTAATTTACTTGATTATTATTATTATTTCTTTTTTTTTCCTCTTGAATTCAAATTATTGTTCATTGTGGACTGCGGCCATTTGATAAATAAACGACTGTAGCACTTGATTTGAATTGACTTTTATTTGGTTTTATGCACACAGCCTGGTTTTTGCTAATATTTTTATTTTTATTATTTGGATTGTAAGGACCTGAAGCCAGATACCATCCTGGAGAGTCCGACTCATCTGTTCAGAGTCGGTGGCGCCCAAAACTGAAACCCACCCCTACTCTCCGAATTATTTAGTTCTGAGCTAGGGCTTAATTTGCACCGCACTTCGACCAGTCCTACAATCTCAAGTTCCTTATTCATTTATTTTTATTTTTATTCTACTTTTAATTTTCATTATTTTTATTTAATTTTTTTTTATTTTCAACTTAATTTTTTTTTTAAATTTATTTTTCTAAATTTTTTTTTTCTTTTTCTCTTTTAATAAACTTTTCTTAATCAGCGAAAAAGCGTGGCACATTTTAATACATTTGTTATACATTATAATGATCTGTGTATGTTCTTTTGTTCGATTCATTTTTTTCTATAGGCACTTTTTATTCTTGAAACCAGCCATTACAGTTTAGAGGCTTTATGATTTTTTTGGTAGGGTAGATATCTGTTCTTTGTGCTTTGGTATTTGTTATAATATGTATTGTTCGAATTTATCAAAAATCAAATAATGATCCAACGCGAAACAGAACCGCGTTTTGCGTTGG